TCGTACGTGTGCCTCAAGGAACACGAGACGCGCTGTTACGGTCGCCCCTACGTTGTCGACGTCGCTTGCTTCAACGAGTGGGCCACTGAAGAGGCCACTTTCGCCTCCAGCGTCAAGAGCAAGCGTGGCAACACTGCTGTTGTCCGTCGCGCCCCTTACAAGATTGGAAAGTTGGAGCTTCAGTTGCTCTTTGTTCCCCGCCCCAAGGGATCGACCGAGGAGGACATGCCCAAGAGCATGAACTCCTGCATCCGAGAGCTGAAGGCTGCCGAGGAGCGCCTGGCTAAGAACTGGGAAGGTCACCTCAGCCAGCAGGGTGGCGACTGCCCGGTAAGTCCCTCATCTCACACCATTTCATGCTGACCGCGTGCTGATCTCTATCACAGTTCTGGCGTCGACGATACTTCAAGCTTGTTGGCCAGAAGCTCACGGCCTACCACGAGGCTACCCGTCAGCCTCGAGCTACTATCAACCTGGCTAATGCCAAGAGGCTGATCGACGACCGACGTGCCCTGACGGAGCGGGAGACGACCGGCAAGGGCGGCAGGCGTCGGCGATCTGCATTCGCCGAGGAAGAAGAAGGCTACATGTTCGTTGAGGAGGGCTTCCGCATCCGCTTCAACAACGGCGAGACCATTGACTTCTACGCCGACACTGCCGAGGACAAGAAAGGTTGGCTATTGGCCCTGACCGACCTCATCGGCACTGGTCGCGGCGACAGCGAGGACGATGTTGGTGGTTCTCGCAAGCAGGGCAAGTGGTGCGAGCTCATCCTCAAGAGAGAGGAGGCGCTGCGACGCCGGCAAGAGGGCCGACGGGTGCACTCGCGGACGAAGAGCACATTCAACTAATACCCCTTCTTTTCTTGATGATTTGGCATGACCGGCACGAGTAGGGGACACGAAGTAATGGGGGACACGGCATGATCTATGATTCTCTTGGACCTGGAGTTCGTGATCGGATAATCATGTGTCTTTGGTCCGCTGTTGCGATGGATTGTGTCTTGTGGAGTGCGTCGTTGCCTCAATATCTAATAATCTGGCAGGCAGGACGGCGTTTGGGCATGGTTTTGGGTGGCGATGGGGGAAATTCCGGAGATTGAGAGCTTGTTGTTTTAGATTCGCACTCGGCTTCTTTTGAGCATCGTTCTAGGAGTCAGGTAGCCCGTTTGGTTGTACGTATCATGTTGTACTAAAACGGGAGGGTTTTTTTTATCGTTATCTTCATTGCAGTCCTGCCGTGATGAGGTGACAATGTGAGCGCAATTGAGTTTGCCCTACGGAGAGATCTTTGTAGGAACACTCACCTAGGTGAGAAGCGTATGCATCACGTGCGTCGTGATGTGCATAAAGTTGGTGGACCCTTGCTCCACTGATATTCTCGTCACTGGAGGGAAGCCACGGGGGCGCAGCTGGCCGGGGGAGTTTCACCAAGGTATCCATCTGTACCGAAGGCAATGTGTGCAGCGTACGCGGAAAATGTGCAGCGGTACGAATTGCAGGTGGGTACGTACCCATCCAGAGCATTGGATTGCTGCTCGCTACCTGAATTGCAGTGGGGAGTTGGCAGCAGCAGGCGGGCGGCAGCATCCACTTCGTCTTCCCGTTAGTTCGTTATTTTGGAAGGGCCCGCCAGCAACAGCTCCCAGCTATCTCATTACACCGAATCCTCCCCTTTTGGATCACCAAGAGATCGCAGGTTACGTCGCTTTTCCCTACGCAGCATTGCATATCGTCTGCCTCTTTCTTTACCGACCCCTTCCTCTCCTCCCTCCCGCCACCCGGATCTTCCAAACCATACATCATCCCCAATGGCGGGCCGCTTTGTGCGAGCGTCGAAATATCGTGGGTCTTTTTCATTATTACTGTCGCATGCCGCCGTGTTGCGCTGGGACGAGCTGACTGCTGACGCCCGATTCTCTCTCGTCCAGGACACGTCTTTGGCAAGCCGACCCGGAAGGAGTTCTGCTACGACAATCTTCACATCAGCCGAAATGCTTGGGATACCAACTTGGTGAAGGTAAGTAAGGGGTTTGCTCCTTTGCTTCTTTTGTCCTCCTGCCGAGACAATTGATGGGGGGCAGGACCGGGGTCGATAGGAGAACAAGAATGAGAGGCTGACCAGACACTCACTACCTTTAGGCCAACCCCGACTACCTCTCCGTCAATTGGGATGCCGGCGGCGGCGGCGCTTTCGCTGTCATCCCTCTCGGCGAGAAGGGAAAGGTTCCCGACCAGATCCCGTTGTTTCGAGGCCATACCGCCACCGTCTTGGATACCGACTGGTACGCCGATCCCCGCGACGCCGCGACCCGCGCGCACCATCCACCGACGACGGCGAGCGCACGCGACAATCATACTGATGACCACGTGCTAGGAACCCCTTCAACGACCGCGTGATTGCTTCTGGATCTGAGGATGGAAAGGTCTTCCTCTGGCAGGTTCCCGAGAACTTCACCCTCTACACCGATGCCGAGGAGCCCGCCCATGTCTCTCCCGTCAGCAAGCTCGCTGGCCACTCGAGGTTCGTCACCCACGGCCTTTTAGTTCCCCATTCACTACATACACCCTCGACCAAGATGCTGATATACAGCATACAGAAAGGTCGGCCAGGTCCAATTCAACCCCGCTGCGGAAAACATTCTCGCGTCCGCATCCGGCGACTTCACGATCAAGCTATGGGACATCAACACCGGCTCGTCCACCCACACCCTGAAGCACAACGACATCGTCCAGAGTCTGTCGTGGAATGCCAGCGGCTCTATGCTGGTGACAACGTCCCGCGACAAGAAGATCCGCGTGTGGGATGTGCGCGCCGAGAAGCCGGTCCACGAGGCCCCCGGCCACCCGGGCGCCAAGAACAGCAGAGCCGTCTGGATGGGCGAGCACAACCGTTTCGCCACGGCTGGTTTCTCGCGCATGAGCGAGCGTCAGCTTGCGCTCTGGGAGCCTGGCCGCAATGAACCCATTGGAGGTTTCAGCATGCTGGACTCCATCTCGGGTGTTATCATGCCTTTCTGGGGTCAGTTCTGGAGTTTGAAGCTGAGCGTGGGACAAATGCTAAACTACAGACAGATGACGGATCCAACTGCTTGTATCTTGCTGGCAAGGGGTAAGTAGCTCGTTGGGCAGATTATAGTAGTTGGCATACTAATGGCTCTCGCAGCGACGGCAACATCCGATACTACGAGTACGAGAACGACAAGTTCGAATATCTGAGCGAGTACAAGTCCGCCGAGCCCCAAAGAGGCATTGCTTTCGTTCCCCGTCGTGGCATTAACGTAGGTCGACTTCAGCAAGCGCGTGCTGTGATATCTAGGAGGTCATGTCTAACGCTGCGTAGGTGCACGAGAACGAGGTCATGAGAGCCTACAAGACGGTCAACGACAGCTACATCGAGCCCATCTCCTTCACCGTCCCCCGTAGAGCCGAAACCTTCCAGTCCGATATCTTCCCCCCTGCTACTGGCCTCAAGCCTGCCGTCAGCGCCAAGGATTGGCTCGATGGCAAGACGGGTATCCCCTCCAAGATCGACTTGGAGAGTGTGTACGAGGGTACCGCCCCGAAGGAGGTTGCCTCTGACTACAAGCCCCCCGTCATCGCCTCAGCCCCTCCCCCGGCTGCAAAGCCTGCGCCAAAGCCTGCCCCCGCTCCGGAGCCTACTCCGGTGGCACGCTCACCCCCTCCCTCGATGAAGGACCAGCAAGCTTCCATGTCCAACATGGCCAACAGGTTCAAGGACAACGAGCCTGCTGAGCCTGAGGACGAGGACGATAACTCTAGCTTCGAGGAGGTACAAAGACCAGCCCAGCGTGCCGCAGCCCCTGCTGCAGCTCCTGCTCCTGCCCGTGCCGAGCCGGCCAAGATCCCTCCTATCAAGGCCGCTTCCCCTGCCCAAGTCAAGTCGCCTCCCGCACAACAGTCCCCTATCAAGCCTGCATCTGCCAACTCACCTGCATCCTCGACGCACATTGAGTCATCTCTGGATCAGATCAGACAGATGCTCGAGCAGCAGACCAAGCTCATTGGCAAGCAGAACGACAAGATTAGCAAGCTGTCGGACGAAGTCGAGGGGCTGAAGCGCAAGGTGAACGCTGGTGGGTCTCAGGACCAGAGCGAGAGGATCAGACAATTGGAGCTGGAACTCGAGGCCGCGCGGTCTTAGGAAATCTCCTCTGATATTTTGTGTGACCTAAAGCGTGTACAGGAAAGGGGGTCTATGGGGGTGTGTGCATCTGGAGAAGGGAGAGATGTGATGAAAACGGGGTCTTTGGGATGGATAGCAAGCAGTGATTGTCACAAGCAGAGTTAGTTTGGTGTTATAAGTACCTATTTTGTTCTCTTCCCCCTTGTTCATTGTGTGCATGGCGTGCGAGCGCATGGCTGGTGCTGGTGTGTCAACCTGCTAGGTCTGAACAAGACGGCGCACTTGTAAGTTTGATTGGCAGCTAATCAATGGGTTCTTAAAAGTGGTGAACCATAGGGAGGCTCTGATAACTGTCAGTCTGTCCGGGTGATGGTTTCATCTGGTCCATTGGATGTAAGCTATTCTTGGCACTTGGGGGGACTAGAGGTAGTTCCTGTCGCAAGACGTGTCAGATCAAGGAACTTTCTTTTTTCTCACTCCCTGATTCTTCCACAGACAAAGTGCTATGCGCTTGTATCTGGGAATTCTTTCATCTAATGCTGAACTATGGGAGGTAAACTTTCATGTAAGTTACTTAGACTACATATGAAAACTGTCTGGGCTATTATCACACCCAATAGGCAGTTGTGAGGAGGGGATCTAGCATCCCACCAAGGCTGACAGGAGCTTTGACAATCTTTGACCCCCATTGATGTGGTGGAGGCTGCAGCCAATAAGAGGGTGTTCTCCAGCCACAGGCTGGACGAGGCTGAGAAGAGGGACCTCTCGGACCCGCTGAAATTTTCAAGATTGTCGCGATAAGGCACTCTGTAAGTAACGGTTGCTGGAGGATTTTTCTCCAACAGTACTGCAACAATTGCAAGACAGCGAAGCTACGACCACCGGTTCAATCGCAGCAACGAACCCGCGGTTTTAAACTCCTCCACGCCGAACTTGTCATACTTGCTTCTCCGAGGAAACGAAAGTAACAAGAGGAACAAAGCTCAGCCTCCACCTGCGACCGCGAAAAAAAAAAAAGCGAAAACCATGGCGTCCGTCCTCGGAAAGCGCAAAGCGCCCTCTGCGTCGGCCAGCAAGCCAGCTGCCACGGCGGCATCAAACAAGACTGCCTCCTCATCAGCATTGAAAAAGAAGAAGAGCGCCGAGAGCCTCAAGAAGTCTGGCACGACGGCAGCGACGAAGAAGAAGACGACGGCTACCGCAAAGACGAAGGCGAAGAAGGCCGTAGAGAAGGAGGAAGAGGAGGAGGATACATCCATGCTGGACGCGCAAGAGATTTTCAGACGGCACTTTGAGGCCCAATTTAAACCGATTGAGAAGGCCGTGCCGAAGAAGAGCAAGAAGAGCAAAGTCAAGGCTGCAGAGGAAGCGGAGGAGGACAGCGCGAGCGCAAGTGATGAGGATGTGAAAGACGGCGAGGAAGACGTCTTTGAGGATGAGGGTGCTGACGGCGACGAAGGAGAGGGAGAGGAATGGAGTGGACTCTCTGGCGACGAAGGTAAGTCGCACCGAACCGCTGGACGCAAAACTCCAAAGAGTGTTACGAGGAAGCCTTTTTACTAACGAGCTTGAGGTTCAGCAGAAGACGACTACGAAGAGGACAGCGATATCCCCTACGACGACATTGACGAGAACCCCGTCATCGAGGTCGTAGACCATACCAAATCCAACGCCCAACCCATCGTCAGCATGAGCAAGCGCGAACTCAAGGCCTTCATGGTATGCCTCAGGAACCCCCCCTTCTCCCATCCTCACATCTCGCATCTCACTAACCCTCTTCCCAGTCCTCCAAACCCCCCTCCCAAACAGACCCCTCCCCAACCTCCCTAACAGCCGCCCAAACCCCCGAAGACCCCTCGGACGAAAACGACAAATCCATGCTCGCAAACGACCTCGCCCTCCAACGCCTCCTCTCCGAATCCCACCTCCTCGCCCGCCACGCCGTCACCCCCTTCACAAACTCCGCCAACTCGCCCGCCTCCAAATCCTTTTCCGAGGGGAAACTCCGCCAGCGCCAGACGGATCTGCGCACGCAGTCCCTCGCCAGCGCGCAGGGCGTATCAGGCGTCAAATCAGTCTTTGTCCAAGAAAAGATGCCCATGGCGTTTCGAAAGGGGATTGTCGCGAGTACGGCTGCGCGCGAGGAGAAGCGGAGGAGGACGGCGAAGGAGAATGGTATTGTGTTGGAGAGGGAGGCGCCGAAGAAGGTGGCGAAGCAGAGCGGGGGTAGGTTTGGACAGAGGGGTCTTGATGGGCTTGATGTTGGGAGGATGAGGGGTGCCGAGCTGAGGTTGAGCGAGAGGGATGTTCAGAATATCGAGGGCGGCGGCGGTGGACGCGGCGGACGTGGGGGGCGGGGCGGAAGGGGGGGAGGAAGAGGTGGTGGTGGTGGCAGGGGAGGCCGCGGGAGAAGGTAGACTGGAGATATACCATGCTGCAAGTCTCCAGAGCCTTTTCGTAATTACAGTTATTGGTATCTTACATTGGCAATTGCGGCAGCGGCTCATAACCTTGTTCAAGGTGGTAGATCTGAAAGAGACAAAGCTTTAAGAAAAACATTGGTGTCCGTTCATGATGCTTTAATTCCTTGTAAGTGATTGTGTCTTGATGTGTTCACTTGCTAGCGTGGGCGAAGTCGTTGATGAAAGGCGAAGACTACAGATGGATGGTGTGGGTTCAATCGAGTAGACATCATAGGGAATATAAGATTGAAACGTGTGGTCAAGGTGAATCAACATTCGAGACTCTGCTTATTGTTTCGTGGCAAGCCCTGTCGAGCACCCAAGAGTTGCTCGACAGTCTTCTCCCCCTGGTATCATCTGGCCTTCTGGCTAGTGTGCTCTTCTCAACTATGCCTCTCCAGCACAAAGGAAAAAGAAACAAACTATATATACATGTGCGAGTCGTTTCTCTTCTTCGCATTTCGACCCTAAGCTCATGCATAAAAATCTCCCTTTTCGACGGGTACTTTCATACGTCGAGATCCTCCCAGTCTCTCCGTACGTACCTCTATGTGTGCGAGTTTCCTTTTTGGTGTCCGAGACCAACGGCCAGACTCGATGCTGAACACATGAAACTGAAATAAAAAAAATTCGCCCGGAGCCAAAGGAGCAATTGTCCAGTCGCTAACGCGTGCCGAAATCCATCTTCTGGATGGATGAAGAAAAAAGAAAAAAATCCCTGACCCATTCCGAACCTTTGTCATAGCCATGCCGCCCTCTAAGTAACACCGTGTCGAAGGAAACGCAACTCCAGTCGTAACGAGAGCCGAAGCTCGTGAGGTGTCGTCTCTCACATGATGGCGCTCGCGTTCACTGCCGGTTGGCTGATTGTCATCGGCATGCTGAGCGTCTGCAAGCTGTTGAACGATTGCATGCCGTTCGACGTCGGCGGTGTCGAGCCATTGGCAACACCATTGAGCGAAGCGGTAACGTAGGCGTTCTCAGAGTTGGGGGATGCCTCCTCGAGGGAACCGAGCTGGTCCTCGCCAGAGTACTCTTCCTCCTCCTCGCCCGAGAAGTTGAGAGCAGCCTCGCCGTTCTCACCACGGTCATGAGTACGCTTGTGTCTGTGGAAACATCAAAGTCAGTCCATGCTATGCGACGAGGTTGTTTCCCCCCAAAAAGTTGGTGGCTGCGTAGTGATGATGAAGTCTGTGTTGTGGCGCGGCGGTTTGGACGTTGGTTTTCATCGCTTGGGGTCTCGCTCCACATTACATCTTTCTTGACAAAGGAAAAGACAAAGGAAATGAGATGAAGGAAAGTTGGGGCATACTGTGCTAGGTTGTCTGATCTGGAGAATGCCTTGCTACAATAAGGGCAGATGTAGGGTCTTTCTTGTGTATGTGTTCTCACGTGTCTGGAAGGTTTGGTCAGATTTCAGGCAGGTCGTTTTTTTTTTTTGGTTGATCACAAATAAAATCGAGTCTGGTTCTTACCTCTTGAGGTGCTCTAATCTCTTGAAGAGACGACCACACGTGGGAATAGGGCAGGAGTGGGACTTCTGGGGGTAGGGACCAAGTTCCATGACAGTCGCGGAGCGAGCTCTGCGAACGACGCCGTTGGGGCCTTGCATGCCAGCCCGGGGAGCACCGTTCATAGAACCATCACCGGACATGTCATCGTGTTGGAGGTGGGAGTAGTCTTGCTGCTGGAGGGACATGGGGTTGAGAGCGGGGCTGCCCTCGACAGTGGACAGCGGAGTGCCGTGCCGGGACAGGTCCAGCATCTCCTTGTGCTGATGGCTTACCATGGACATGGCGGAGCTGCTGTAGGCAAGGCCGGGCGGGGAGTTGTCTGCAGATTCGTCGCCTTCAGCCACAGGACCGACGGATGCAGAGACCGACCGCCGGAGATCCGAGGGTCTGTGCTGCTGTTGGTGTTGTTGGTGCTGCTGTTGCTGAGCGGCAGCCTGTGCCTGCGCTTGGGCAGTGGCAGCGGCAATGGCTGACATTGACGGCGGGATGGATGAACGCCGCCTCCTCTGCTTGTAGGTCGGGGATCCTTCAATCACAGAGTAGACGTTGTTGGAGCCGTAAGCTCTCGAGAACTGAGGGCCGGCGAGGTTGGAGGGGGGGAGCTGGATCATGCCGTTGAGGCCGTTGACGTTGCCGCCCATGTGATCGGGGATGGCCGTGTACAGGCCGGTCTCCTCGTTGGCGATGTAGGCGGGCTCGGCGGCCATGCCCAAGGCCTGCTGGGGAGGGGTGATGGGCTCGAAGGAAATACCCCGGTTGCTGTAGTCCTCGTACTGAGAAGAGACGAATGACGGGGCGGGAGAGTACTCGAGGCCGTAGGCGGGCATCGACGCGTGTCTCTGGTGACCCTGGGTGATGGGGACACCGTTCTGGTTGTACTGGACGCGAGCGAAATCGGGTTCCCGCTTGACCATCTGCTGGGGAGGCATCTGCTGGGGCATGCCCATCGCTCCGTACGGCACCATCGATTCCATACCATCCTGCATAGGAGCAACCGATTGAGGAATCATCTGCGGGGGCGGCATGTTGTCCATGGGCCTCATGATTGGCGAGGTGGACTGGGACTGAGAGAAGGTGACCTGCTGAGCGTTGAAAGATGAGGAGTTGGCCTGCTGGGCCTTGGTGAGCTGCTCGTAGAGCGACTGAGACGAGTCGTACTGGAATGACAGAGCAGGCTCGCTGACGGCAACGGTGGTGGCCTCCTGACCCATCTTCTCGCGCTTCAGATCCCGCTCGAGGGCGTCGAGGAAGAGTCTGTCGTGGGGTACGCTGTACCAGTAGAAGACCTTCTGCTTCTTTTGCGTACGAATGCAGTTGTTCTTGTAGAGGAAGTCGAGGAAGGGGCTCTTGGGCTCCTCAAGCGACGCATCGGTCCCCGACTTCAGGTTTCTCAGGTCGGAGAAGATGCCCTCCTCGAACTTCTTGGAGTTCTTCACTGGCCGGCCGAAAGCCTGGAATCTGAAGGAGAGGCATCTGACGATGTCGGTTCCGGAGATGTGGAAAAGGTTGTTCCAGAGAACGCAGGACACGTACTCGCCCGTGGGGAGGAGGAATCTGCGAATGTACTGATCGGGTTGCCAATCGACAGGAGCAGAGATGAGGAAGTATTTCACTGCGAGACGAGTCAGTTGAGAGATTCCGAAATTACCGTTTCAATTTCGACTTACGGTTATCAACCTGTTGAAGAGCGACCTGAGCGTCGTGGGGCAACGCTTGCTGGGCTTCGGTGCTCAGCATGAAAGTCTCTGGTTTTTGGGGGGCCATGCCCGCAGCGGCATGTTGTGAGTACATGCTGTCGGATCTGTTGTGATGATGGGGGTTGACGACGGATGTCGGTCGCGTCTGACCGGATCGAGAACGAAATCGCGCGGGTTGTTCGCCTCGGCAGAATTGCGGAGGTGACGAAGAGTCAAAGAAATGGTGTGCTCGTTTTGCGAGACGAAGAATTGCAAAGCTGATTGAAGGCGCTGCCCTTGTTGGATGAGCCCGGTAATGGGAGTGTTGCTAGTTTTCTTTTTGATTGATTTTTGAGACTTAAATCGAGTCCAGCCCGGGAGGAAATAACTTTTTGGTGTTGGCACAACTGTAGACCACAGGACCCAAACTCGACCTCAAGCGAATGGTGGGTGATTTCGGCTACGCAGATCAAGACCGTCAAGGTGCTGATGATGATGGGTGATTTGGTGTTTATCGGCGCCTTCGGTCTCGGAGTGGAACCTTGGGGTCGAATGAATTAGGGGTCGTTGGTGGAAGACGGTGCGTCAATGGCAAAACAAGAAGGTAGAAAAAGCTCGACGAAGGGACCCTGCGCAGGAACTGGAAACTGGTTGGCGACTAGACTTGCTGGCGCGATGAGATTCGCGATGATGGACAAGTGTGCGACGGACAATGTCTGATGTGTCGACGGGCGGGATGATGTGCCTCGGGGGTGGTCAGTCCTGATGAGATGGGAAGAGAAACGGGGGTGGGAGGTATGTGCGGCTCCGACGAGGAGAGAAGGGGAAGAAGGGGGAGGGAAGTAGAGGGAGAGAATGGAAAAGAGAGATGGGAAGAAAAGAAGAGTCTTGTAAAAAGAGATATCAGAAGGGTTTAGGAATGGGAGGATGGTCTGGGGGTTTAATGATTTTGGACGGGGTGAGAAAGGGAGAAGGAAGAGAGAAGGTCAGGTCCCCCAGCAGGCCAAGGTCAAGCGAAGTGTGGTTCTTTGGGTACGGAGGTATGCTGGGTGCTGGGTGGTGGTGCGTGTGGTGGTGGTGCGTGGTGTACGTGGTGTGCGTGGTGCGCGGTACCTTGGGCTGGGGGGGGAGCATGGGAAGGAGGAGTGAGGAGGAAGACGAGGAGGAAGTGGGTGAGGAGGTCTGGTCTGGTCTGGTTCTGCCCTGGCGCGGGATTGGACTTTGGGCCCTTGCCTTTTGGCCCTTGGGGAAGGTACTTGGGAGTGGGAGTAAAGAAGAGTAGCAGCGGCAGCGGCAGCGGCAGTACGAAGTACCTACACTAGGTACTAAGGTATGGTAGCAGCGCGCGTGGGCGTCGGGTAGGCGTGCGGCGGATGGGAGTGAACCAAATGGAGTGGCAGCGGATGGATTGAAGGCCAAGGGGGGAAGCAGGAGGAGGAGCAGAGACTGAGAGCACAGAAGGACCCGACTTACTTGGTACTGACTGACTGACTGACTGGTGACTGGACCGCGGCGGGTTCAGGAAGAGCAGAGCAGAGCGAAAGGAGGGCAGACAGAGAGCAAAGACGCAGGCGGGTGGACGAGGGGGGGAGGGTGTTTAAGAAAAAAAAAGGAAGGGGGAGGGGGGTGTGAAGTTGGGGTAGGGAGGGGGAGAAGGAGGACGAGCGAGGACGAGCGAGGAAGCAGGGCCCGGTACCTTGCTGCGGTACCTGGACTGGACTGGGACTGGCGGGAAGAGAAGGAGAAGACTGAGAATGAGAGTGAGAGTGAGAGAATCCACGTCCACCCACAACCACCACGAGCCCAGCACCAGGCCCGGTTAGGCCAGACCAGGGTAGCGTGAGTGGGAAGACAAGAAGTCAAGAGCGAAAGTGGGCTAGCAGCCAGACTGAGAGGAGGTGGTCGTGGTCATGGTGGTGGTGGTGGGATGGAGACGGAGAGACCTTGGAACTGGGGACTTGATTGGGACTGTGTAAGTGGATATGCTTCCCAGGATTGGACCATGGACAATGGCGGAACAGGGGTGTATGAGTTGGACGGGTGTGGATGAGATTTGTGGAGGACGAGAGAGAAAGAAGACGAGACTACCTAGGTCAGGTCTTGGACACACACGCTGGACCTGGACTAGGCACAGAAGGGGAAGGGGAGGAGAATGTCAATGAGGGCGAGAGACAGCGGCGCCCGCGCACACACGCACACACGCACTCCTCTCTCTGTCTATCTAGGTACGGCACTGATGGAAGAGGCACATACACACATATACAGACAGACAGAGAGTGAGAGTGAGAGTGAGAGTGAGAGTGAGAGAAAATGAGAGACAACGACAACGGGTCTGGGTTTAGCGGGTGAAAAGATGAGTGAAGGTGGCACGAGGATGCAGAAAGACTAGCAAAAAGGTAAGTCAAGCAAGCAAGGTACGGATACCATACCTGACCTATCCGATACCTGTCTTGCCATTGGGTTGTCTTTTTCTTGTCTCTGACTTGCTATGCGTGCTGAAGTTGAGTTGGTACAAGCCAGGGGTGTCCCACGGTTTAACATGCCTACAGATGTATCCGTAAGCCGGGACAACAATAACAACAACCAGGGACGGCTTGTGTTATTGTTGACATTGAGTCTCGTCCCTTCTCGGCTCATATTTCTTGTCTTGTATACTGTGTAATGCGCGTGATCTCGACAGTCCAGTTGCAGGTTCTTGCATGTAACCCAGCATAGTGGGACGTCTTTTTAATCAAGAGCAATAAAACTGCAGAGAAAAGTCAAGTCGCCAGACAGACGGTGACTCGGGTACGGTGCTATAGTCGGCATGAAGAGGCTGCTATTAACCGTTGCACTCCTTGCAAGCCATTAGTCACTTTGGGGGGGCGCTCTCAGGCGTCGTCGTGTACTTCTTTCTGTACGGTGCGCTGGAGGTGGGATGAAGCGTGGCTGTGGAGAAAAGCGCTGGGTGCTCTTCTTTTGGTGGATATCAACTGAGTGAGACCAGTGTCTCTTGTCTATCCCGTACCTAACTCTCTCTTCCCATGCGTTGCGGCAAAGCGTTAGTATTGTACGACAGTAATCATGTGGTAGCGTTGGCGGTTCCTGGAGGTTCCTGGCCCGGCCTTTCTAGTGCCATTGCTTGTATCGCTGCTGACAAAAACCCAGTCGGCACGGCACTTTTACTGCTAGCAGTTAAAAGACGGGAACTGAGATGACGGAAACTAGACGCAGGTCCAGGTCATAGACTACTGTGTAGTAGCCGCTTCCAACTAGAACAAGGAGCCCCATTGCCGTTCCTGCATGTGTGATGAGTATACACATCCGTACAGCATCATGAGATCATGTTCCTGCTGTTCCTGTCCCTGGTTCTAGGAGGGGGAAGTCGACGTCGAAGCCGAAAGGAAAACTGTACCGTAAAGGGTGGCCCACCACCAGAAGAATGATGGGCGCGACGGCGGAGTTAGGAGAGGAAGATGGAGGGGGAGAGAAAGCGTGCGGAAGTACCGACCGGGGAGCCCCAGGGATCTTTGTGGATCGCCGATTGGCCGGACCTGGAACTAGCCTTCCTCCCGCCAGGCGGCCAGAGACTGAAAGTGAGAGTGAGAGACAAGAGAAAGATGGTCGCTGCTTATCCGTAAGGTACCTTTTTCTTTCTTTCCCGCTCCCAAGTGTCTGTCTCTAGCCCCATCTGACGAAATCTAGAATCCGTCGTTCTCGCTTGGCCGCTGTAGGAAAAGACTCTCTCTTTACACTATCCGTAGTCACTTTTGAAAAAGAGAAAGGGAGCGAGAGAGAGATAGAGATAGACTATGAAAGAAGTACGGCGCGCCGCGCCAGGCCCCCCAGGGGTGATGAAGGAAAGGGAAAAGGCTTTCGCAATCGGCATAGCTTTGGCTGATAGCCTGATAGGTTCTTCTTCTTCCATCTCTCTCTTCCTCTGCGCACGGGGCATCTGGGCGGAAAGTGTATGTATGTAGGGTAAAATAAAAAAAGAAGGGGTGGTGGATGAGAGGTGACGAGAGTTGAGTTGAGTTTAGTTGTACCAGGGGTGAACCACTTTCAATTTTCAAGTCTCTCTTGCTTGCAACCGGTAAAGCGGCCCCGAGACAATGTGTCTGTCAAATGTCTCTCTCCCGTCTCTCTGTCCCTCTCGTTCTCTTTCTGTCTATCTGACCCGTTCTAAGATCATGGATTGAGTTGAGTTGGTCCAGGATAGGGAATTGCATTTGCAGAAAGAAGAGAGGTGTCACAACGGCACGGCAGGCAAAGCAAGCAAAGACTATTTTACTACGGACACCTAGGTAGACAAGCAGCCCGGGCAAGCAGACCCCAGTTGCCGGTAGGTTCGTGTGTCCACAAAGCAATATCGCTACATACCGCTTACAAGACACAACCCCAGGACACAAGTGAGTAAAACTACTGTGCTAAGTACCTAGGGTAGATAGGTAACGGAGCGGGATGCAGAGCACCGCAACCCGCACCGCGAAGCGAAGGGGACATGACAGGAAACCCATCAACCGCTGACAGAGCGGACAGCAACAACACTGACGGTGGGCTGCCGGCTTTGGCAGCGACACTGACTGACACTGGCTCCCGCTCGTTCACCAAAAAGCGTTGTCTGTCCCTTGCCTGCGCTCGCGCCTTTTGCAGCTTGGTCGCGTTGAGTAGAAAGGAGAGGAGGAAGTCTCGCGCTCTCACTCTCGCTCAGTCATCTCGACGCGCTGAACCAAGTCAGTTAGACAGTCAGACAAGTCTCGCGCGGCCCCCTTCTCTCTCTCTCTCTCTCTCTCCAGTGTACTAAGGCCCTCGACGATTTTTTGTGCTTCGCTTCCGCCTGTGGTTCTCCATGACCGCACATGTAAAGTGAAAGTCACTGTCAGTGGCAGTCCCTGCGTAACAAGTTTCTTGCCCCCCCTCCCTTCAACGACCTAACCCACTAACACACTAACATGCCGGACCTCGCATGTCATTGATGCCGGCAACCTTGCTCTGCTTCCTGTCAGGGCTTCCCTTCCGCCAGGGGGGGCAACATGCGGACATCGTCCACAGCGCCCATGAACGGCAGTGGTCCATTTTGATGGGCATCAGTGGGTTTGGTTCCGATGGGGGCCCCTTGGCCAACAGGAAGACCGGATCTTCCTGTCGTCGTCAGGGATGGTGAAAAGAGGACAATGCCCTTGTGTCTCTGTCTCTGTCTCTCTATCGCCGCATCTCTCTTGCACCAAAAAGAAGTCCTGTCTCTTTACTCCTAGGGTTCTGCTCTGCCAAAGAGAGACCCGGTCATACGAAGGTATTCTCCAGGAAAATCATCAGAAACAGGCAGTCAACGGCCGGCCAAGGCAAGGCTACTATCTCCACTGCCCTTCTCGGGATTAATATGCGCATCCCCCTCCGTAAAAGCCCCCGAGATGTCTAGCAGTAGATCCCCCCCCCCCTTAGGTCCCCATCGTCCGCCGGCCCCCCGTCGTGATAGGTAGTGGTCCTGGCGGCGCGAAAGAATGTTCCCTTTTCCCATCGTTCGCGCAAGCTTGTCTCCAAAGGTTAAAGAACCCGGGCGCCGGACCTAATCTTGATAGTCCAGGGGAATCTCATTTCCATCCCGGTGCAGATATGCCCATCATCGATTCTTTGGCGGGATTTGTAGTCATTACGCTTGCACCGTTGAACTTTACCATGTTCCCACGCTGACCCAGAAAATGCAGTGAAGGATCAAATCTTGAGAAAAAATAAAAATAAAATAAAAATAATTATTTTATTCGTGCCATTGGGTCGCGCGCCCAACCCTGGGCTGGGATGCAGCTTTTGGCGCCATCCTTGATCCCACCCCATCAGGAGGGTGTGCCGATAGACTTTCTATTAGCAATGCCAGGCACACAGGACCGGAGAGCATGGATTCTGGATTTCAGTGAACGGGCTTGCTTGGGGAGCACCATCATCCATGGCATGGAATTGAAAAACTGGGGAACGAAGAAGAGCCCGGGGGGTGGTTAGGAGATATGTACGGATACGCTCTAGAAGAAAACATTCGATAGCGGCGGCGGAGGTTTTTTTCTCTCTTATTTTTGGGAAGATCTTCTGCCTTTTTGCGGGCAACTCTGCCCTAGAAAGTGAAAGCTCTAATTCCTACTGCCGTTCTTTCGTCATGCCTGTCGGGTTTTTCGCCCGGCTTGCTTGTTGTCTACTTTGGCAGTGAACTTTCCCCCAGCAGCGGATTGAACGGGACCGAAAACGCAGTGCGAATACAGAGAGCTTGCCCTTGGCCCCAGTAAATGCTTCTTCTTCCCCATCCCACCATCTCTTAACTCCTGTTCAAGATACAGTAGTAAGAAGTTTCTCGATTTGCTATCGTGATCCTGTTGTAGATGCTTGGCTAGCGGCGTCTGGCGGTTGATGAGACGGTCACTTTCGTCGTCAGTCTCAGGCCACTGATTGGATCCTTCAGAGGTGGCTTGAATTGGGCTGGTTCATACTGCAACCACGAATACCGGTCTTAGAACCCCAAACAAGGCACGAAATACAGTTCCCCTGATGGGTGGTCGCACTGGCTAGGATGATTGGGGAAGCATGTACCCAAAGCATTGTATTCGCACATACGGATAACGCGCGGGAACGCTGAAGGAGGAGGAGGGGTAACAGCAACGACAAGAAGAAAAGATCCGGCCGCGTGCGAGACCTGAGCGTGTGCGCTTCAGGATCGTTGGTTTTTTTAGAACGATGTACTTTGTACATCAGCGGGAGACAATCCTGGGCGACCGTCTGTCTGCTGAAAGGCCGTCCGTGAGGCCCTGTCATGGATATCCCCATGTTCTGCTATTGACAAGGTCTGTGGCTCTACCCTTCTGGGTCTGTCTGCGGGTTCAGGAAGGTAGGTAGACAAGGAACGGCACCAGAAAATTAACATAAAAAATGGCGATACTTCAATATGTGCTCTCTCTTAATGGGCAGCATACAGTGGCCCGGAGCTACAGTTACATTGAGTCTTTTCCCATCGTACGTCTAGAACCGACCCGTCCGCACAAGTCGAAACAGACGCAGCTTGCTTGTCCTACTTAATACACCGCAAGCAACCGGCTATTGAACGAGGATCTGACGAATCTCTGAATCATGGTTGAGAGACCCATGCTGGTGGTCTAGGACACTTGCCCCCCCCCCCCCCCCCCACCCCCCAGTCCCCAGAAACAATCAATGGTTCGCCGCCGCGGACCTTGTCCGGATCGTATCCTTTCTTGTGACGAACGGCAACGGCCGCGTCTGTGTGTGTGTGTGTGTACTCCGTATGTGCGTGTGTGACGAACCAGCACTGCAAAAGACAATGGGCGAAGGGTTTGCCAGAAGAGGCAAGGCATATGGATCTGGCTTCTCAGCCATGCAGGAACGGAAAATGAGGCGTCGTCGGAGACAGCGGAGAGAAAGCTGACGAAAAAGGCCGGCAACAATGTTGGGGTAGACTCTAAACTTCTAGAGACCTGGAGGTCAGGGCGTAGTCAAACTCTGGATAAGTCGACTTTTCGGGATTTGACATATTTTATGCACAGTTGTCTGACTGAGTATACAGAGATACTGCAGGCCAGCCAGACAAGTCATCGCATCTCGCGAACTCTTTTATTGTCTTCCGCGAACCGGAGCAGGCCAAGTCCTTGCAGCGGGGCCGGACGGCTCCCAGATGGTCTTTGCAGAACGAGATCCGAAGCCGTGTGTCTTGCTTGCATGTTGCATTGGATTGGATATCCGGTGAAATGAAGCCTTCTTCTTCGGCACGATCAAAGAAAGAAGAGAGAGGCAAGACCGGTCAGGGCCCAGGGGGCGTTGACGGATCAAAGGAAGAGGGAAAAGAAGGTTTAGCCAGGCCTGCTAGAGAACGGTAATGCATGTCCCAGGGCTATCGTGCAGGTCATCAGCAAGAAGACGTGAGGAGATTGCCCAATAATCTCCACATGCAATATCGCTTGTTTTGGGGGTCCAGCTCCAGCTCCACGGGCAAGCTTCGCATTTTACTCGGAATGCAATGGATGCGATGGCTGCAATAGTTTACACATCGCTGCCATTATTTCGTAAGATTGCCTTCTCCTGAGCACTTGCACGAGGACGGACGAGGACGCCGCAGCGGCCGACGACGGCACCGGTGAGGCTCGCTCAGTCCGAGCACTCTGGTAGTTTAATGAGACAAGGCCACTAACAGTTGAAAGCTGTCTCTTGGGACATCAAGACGCGCAGCTCGGACGACCGTGGCTGACTGACTGCCAAAGCCATGTATCCGTACTTTTGAGGGCTGCAAGGAGGAACACTGCAATACCTACGTGTAAGTAGTCACCGCGACGCCAATAGTCAGTGGGTAAGAAAGGTCGTAGGGTCGTCGTCGAAAGCCTGTGCAACAACGTGGCTCTGAACTAGGGGCACGTCGGATATGCTCCCTTTCTCGACAAGCGTCGATTTCGCGACGAAGGGTACTGGATAAGTTCGGCTCGTCATCTCATCAAGAGGCTCGTGTTGTGCCCCTGAAAGAATGCAGAGCGCGCCTTTTCCGATATGACGCTGTTGCCATCAGCTGAGGGTCGAAATGCAGGTCCGAGTCCCTGGGCAGTGATGTCGGTGACAGTAGCGGCCGATGGATCGGCAGGCTTATCGAGTAAGTCGAAATGGCGTATGAATTTGGAGTATCATCCGTAGACTCCTCCTCAGTGACTGTGGTGTACGAAAGTACTGCATGCTTTGCCAGCCAGCTGCCATGAGCTCGCTCGGACCGTCACAGCTCCCGGTCGTGGAGAACGACAACCGTTGGAAGCGAGCCGTTGATGGAATGTGTCGTGGGCTTCAGACACGCTGCATTCCTCGTCAAGACTCAAGCTCAAGAGTCAAGACCCTATAACGTTGTTTCCAGCCTTGTCTTGTGGTCACACGGAGTGGTCCGCGGCCGTCCTTGTCTGAGTGTGAGAGAGACAAAGGAGATTGATAAGTCCAAGACAGTGGAAGGCGTCACGCTTTGGCGTGGTAAGTCATCAGCAGATTGCATTCAGAACAACGCATCTTTTCATCTCAGTCCATTCCCGGTCAGTATGATGGGATGCCATAGCACACATGCGGCAATGCCAATAGGGCAGCGAGCAACTGCGGCATCTCAGCAAATTTCGTACATAGCTCGCCAATGGTCGCCCGCTGGATGGTGCGTGTAGGTAGCCGGTGTTGTGCGGCCCGGCGCGGTTCTGGGTGGAAAAGGTACAAAGGTACATACATACGTACGAAATGACCGAGAAAGCGAGAGCCACGCAGGAAGGTCGGAACAAAGTAGATGACGCGAGAAGAAGCTAGGGCTACTGGCCAAGCCGGAAGTTGACTGGCTGACAACTGCGGAGTGGGGATCGGGTGGTTTCTTGCCCTAAATGTTAGGCAAAGTTTCCCACTCCAGAAAGCGCAGCGGTACGTACTCTGCTTATGTTCACTTTGGAAACTGCGTGTCGCTGCCGCAGAATTGCTGGCAAGGCCCTGCCAACTGTGAAACTTGCCTGGCGCATTGCTTCAGAAAACAGCTTTGGCTACTAAAATCCAGAGCTAATCCGCTTCTAGTATCGTCCCTCTGTCAAAGTTGCAACTGCAACCACTGCCCCCCTTCCGCTTATCTCACGCCCCTCCAACTCGCGTGCCTCTCTCTCTAGGAACGCTTGCTTTCATCGAGTCACGACGTCCCGCCGCCCGACCTACCTATCGCACTACACCGCGTACAGCGAAGATCAGAATCGTTCAACACGGGATGATTCGCTGCCGCGAGCTACGATTTAGACCAAAGAAGTGTCCGGCAACACTGGCGGTGGCTTTGGCCCTCTATCTTTCCAGGACTCATTGGATGGCCTTACACCAATTAGGGCGATATGCCACCAGTCTTTTCGAATAACCTCTCGTCAATATCACAGGCTGGCAGGTCATGGTTTGTAGCCAACTGGCGCTCGTCCCCTCAGCAGCTTTCATGCACATCACTCTACACTTTTACACTGGTCCACGCTTTTTTGCTTCTCCTGCAGGCTCTGCGTTAGGCTTCCAGAGTCCCAAGGGCTACACTTGCGGGTTACCATTGAATTCATCATCACGCACAATGCCTCGCCAGTCAAAATATGCTTCGACTGCGCCATCAATTACCTGCACGGTTCTCTGCGATCCTCCCGGTATCTGCACGGTGTCGTCAACGGGGCCGCTTGAATCGCGTCTTGATATTTCACTGACTAGGAACAGAACACGATTTCGGCCATGTGGAGAATATCGGGCCCCAGAGCCATCCCGCTTTCGACTCTTGCCATCCGATCCGGGCCAAGGCTTCAACCTGACCGTTACGGTGGCCTTACGGAACACCGTCCTCGCTTGCTGCTCAGTACGGACATGAGCTTGGTAGAGTGGACCTTTCGGGGATTAAACCGACATCATACTTCGTACGGGACCAACAAAAACAAGAAGTCGGTAATGCGATATTCTTTGCTCATTTTCTTTCCGAATCGCTGCAGTCGATTCCACAGACCTGCGATCCACCGCAATGGAGGGCAAAGGCCGCGTTCGATATGGATCACGGATGGGTAGGTTCATGCCCCATGGGTCAGGTCGGGAGCAAGACACGACGTTGGAATGGGGGCAACGGCCGAACCTCGGACGGCAACGCTGTGCCTCTCTATGCAAGGTACGAGATCTCAAGCATCGGCCTGCACTGGTCTTGACAAGACGGCAAACCGGCCTTGTTGCGCGGTGGAGGGAGCCGTCGGCGGGATGTTGTCCATGGATGATGGACCATGGTTGTGGCTGTTTGATCATCCTGCTAGAATACGACGCACGCTACCCCGAGCTTTCTGAAACTCCAAGCCAGCAGATGCCAGCTGCACGTCGCCAGCCTCGAGCCCGAACAGCCTCCCAACTCCCCCCGCCGAGTACGCAGTATCCGTACACTAATCACTGTGTATCCGTAGAGTTCGCCTTTGTCTTCGGCATGGGCGAGGATAATGGTTGTATTGTTGGTCAGTCCTGGCAAGGCAAGCCCACGCTAGAACTATGTCGAGGTCCAGGTCCGGGTCTTGAGAAGACGACGACCAGCTATCCCACCTCGCCTGATCGTCCCGCTACCCTGGCCGACCTCAGTGCGTTCGGTCAGGATGGGAGAGTTCATGTTGACCGCTGTCGACCTCCCGCACGGCCGGACATCACCCGCTTGTCTGGGAACTGTCGTCTATCGCCCTCCCTCCCCTCGAGTTGCACTCTCCTATCCTCTCCCACCCGTATCCGTACGGAGTACATGCCACGGCGAGGAGAGGCCGTCGAGGTGATGGAATTCACGGTTCGGGGTCTCGGACTGGAGTTGAAGTCGGGCAAGCGACGAGGACGGAGACAAGGCCTAAATAGGAAGCTCTTCCGCTGGGTCGAATGCCATGATACCATCTGCAAAGCCCCTCCGTAATCTTAAATGTTTACCGTCTTCTGCATTCTTGGTGGTCGCGGCAAACAAAAGAGGGGCATCGGGAAGCTCTGGAAGAATCAACGACGATCATTCTCCCCCCTGACAGGCGCATCCTGTCCCGCGCGGACAGCCATCGTGAGACTTTCGTCAACGGAGAATGCGGTGACGAGGATAAGGCATCTTGCAAGGGAAGTTCGGCCGGGAGGCGTGCCGCTTCTGGACTGCGCATAGGCCATTTCCTAAGCTGGCCGTCATATTCATGTCCTTGGGGAGCTGGGACGAAATGGACGAATCAGTCGAGTTACTGAGGCAATCGTTGCCTGCTGCTATTTTGAATCTCCAAGCGGTCCCAAGTTTGTCGAAGCTCGTCCGTCGCAAGAAGCCCAAAACAAGCGCTCCCAGCTCCCAATGCTGTGCGGATACGGATAGAGCAACTTGTAAGCGATTCAGGTTCCTAGTAACTAGGTGTCCGTACCTGGGCTACGCACGCGGCACAAGGTTGCTGATGTCCCATTTTTTCCTCGAAAAGACATCATGTGGGAAAAGAGAAGCAGAGACTCAGACTCGAGAGTCAGAGACAAAGCGTAACGCCTGAGGAATGCGGTGAAATGGATTCGTCTCCACCAAACAAACCACTGACGGAGCTTTTTTTGCTTCGGGCGTGGAGTAGCACTAAGCAACATCTATCCGTTGAGGAAAAAATGGTGATCAAGTCTAGACCCCTCGACGCCCGGGATGCTGGATTAGTATCATTCGTCATATCGTGGGCCTGTTTGACCAGTGAGTGACCCAGGCATGCTCATGGATCCCAATGGGCCAAGCACAAGCAAGCGGAAAAAGGAAGAGGAGCGTGATGCCGTGGTCGCTCAAAGTGAGGCCTTGGGGCCCAGCGTCTGTCGGGATGCTGCCAGTCGGGTTTTGCTGACTGATGCCGTGTGGGCAGTTGTGGGCAGTTTCAGAAATGGACCCTGGGTGGATCGGGCCTAAGCTTAAGCCGCAGGAACCAATGAGCATCCTGAAGAGCTGTCCCTGCAAGCGCTAGGAGCTTCTCAGCCCTTTGATTGGTTCCCTCAGATTCATTCCATAATGTGGAAGTGGGGCGTCCCGTTATCGCTCCTACCTCACCTGTCCCCTGCCTGTCTGCTCTTGCCCTGTCCTGTCCTGCGTGCGATGTGCCTGCTCTTGCTGCCAGCTGTCGCCCTCTCCCAATGTTTGGCCTGGTCTCCTTCCCGTCCCACCTCCCAGACCAGACTACACCCGACAGTGGACACCCCACACACACACACACACACACACACATCCGTCGTCTACCCAACCACCAACGTACCTACATACTTGCGCATGCACACGACCAATCCGCCCACGCTCACGCTTACTCGCATCACACTGGTCGACATGGGCCAGAAATAGCTTTTGCTTTTTTGAGATCACTGCCCATTCATCTGGGAATCGTTGCACGGCGCATGCGGGAGTGAGATCGGGTCGCAGAACCCTCGGCCGCCTCGCCCCAGTACAGTGTGCGCCTGGCGGTTGCTGAGATTACTTGTGAGCCTTTCACCTCGACCTTCTCTGCTTCATACCGCATCAGCAGATCTCCTATTCATCCTCGTCTCGCCTGGCTCGCGCGGGGCTCCGGCCGCCAGCAGGTCGAAGGTCCTTGCCGCCGGCACGGTATTCGTGGTCGAGGAAACAGGAATAGAAACATCCCAGCCGACCAAGTGATGTGCTCGCCTACCTGCATGGACTTGGGACATAGAAACATCGCCCTCCTTGCTGCCAGGCTTGACCGTGATGGGGATAGGAGATTCGTCTGGCAATGGCACGCTACGAGGAACGACTCCAGCGATGAGATGAAACTTGAACCTCCGAGAAGGAGCGCGAGAGACGAGTATCTGAGTATATCGGCAGTCGACTCAGCTGGGGCCTCGGCGACCTCGCGCTACCGTCATCCTTTATTTCTCCGGCGGCGGTTGATGGACGGTAGCCGTCAGTCGCCACCACCGGCGTACCTGCCGCTCACCTGTCAAATCTGCACAATAATTCCCGACCATTGTGGGCGAGTTCCACCAGCCAGCCTACTGCAGAGGAAAAGAGACTTTCTTCGGACTTTTACCACAGGGTCGATGGGTTCTCCTTATCCTGGCTGACACCGGTCATGACGACTGACTGCAGTGTAAAGAGGCAGATACGAATACATCTGACCAACTCAACCATTGAACAAAAGCATGTCGAGTTCCCTGGATCCGGCTCAGTGGAGATGGGAAAGGCTACCAAACCCAGAGCAACTCTGAAACAACAGGGAAGGGACGGCCGATCTTCCTCGCCTCGCTGAGTCGACGAAACATGACATTTTCGACGTCGACTTGTCCTCGACCCGTGGTGGGCATCCACGACAACCTCAGTGGCACTGGCGCCCAGCACCCGTGCCGGCCGCGCTCTCCATGGCGAAGTATGATTCGTGCATGAACCAGCCTGTCCGGTGTGGTTCTCTCTCTATTCCTTTCCGCACCAGCCGCGGTGACGGCGGAGAAGAAGTGTAAACGATGCGACAGCAGCATGCACCCAGCCATCTATTTCCACCGCGGTTTCCTCGACAAGTTTCCCCCACCCACGATACGACAATGGCTAGTTCTCTTTGCGCAAACTACGGACAGAAGCTCGTGTTGATGTCAACCCGCAGGCCTTCTCCAGTTTTCCCTGCAACCGGCGGGCTTGTTCACAGGGCTTCGCCGCTTTCCTAGCTTTCCTAGGTGGTCTGGAAGGGTGCAAGTGTGCTTTGAGCCAATGTTGTGCAGCACCCGAAACGCGGTGAGAGGGGCGGTTTTCAGGTACATGAAACACGGGCGACGACTTTCTAGGGATATGTCACATCGTCTTCCAGAACGACTTGAGGCAGCGATCGGCCGTTTATGTCAGCTTTGAACATGCTCGCTCAGCTCTTGAAGGCTGCTAAACGAAGGGATCTACCCAGCAAGGCTGGGCCTGGACAACGACACTTGCCTTCTACCCACAGTCCCTTTGCAGGGTATCTCTCGTTGGTGCGTTCCGGTTGGCTCAACTGAGGTCCGACACCTCTCATGGAACCCATACTATCAACGACCAGCAGCTGCCAAAGTGGCTGTTCAAAGCATGTCTTCCTTCGACGGGCTCCGCTGTCACGGATCCTGATGATGGGAACGGACGGTCGACCGGGAGATCTAGAGTACACGGACTGGTGCTTCTTGCTCCTATACTCAAGCCTCGCGAGCTTCGCGAGCTTCGAGAGACAGGGAGAAAGACAGCTAGACAGCTAGACAAGCATATGTGGCTTGACTGACTGCGCTTGATCCCATACGAACTAGCTATGACGTTCCGCTATATCTTCTTCTCGAATCATGCTAGTCGCCAGCCTTGTCCTCTCGTGTGCGGACGCCGTCGACCCCGTATCCGGAGCAAAGACCCGGAACAATGTCACATCGCTGACCTCTAGATGCGGACGAGGCAACAACTGGCCAATGCAAGCTCCCAACTTGGATATACGGGACCTACCTTACTAGGTGCTCTTTTTTTGGCCTTTGCTCAAACTTGACGGCTTCTGCCATCGAGTCTTTTACCCATACCTCCATCACCTCTACCGCCCACCGCTCTTGTTTCATATCGCCATGCTTGTTTCGCCGCCTAGCAGTCCCATGAACACAAAGATCTGTGCCAGAGCCAGTTCGATTCCCACCTCCCGCCCACGCACCGTCCTTCTCTTTTCAGTCCTCGTCCGAAGCGATAAACACCAGAGTCTAGCCGGTTCCTGCACAGCATGGATGGCGCACGCCTTCACCCACTCTGGCGATGTGCTTTGACGCCGTGCCCGAGTTGCACAGGTACCACTCGGGCAGATATCTGAAACATTGACAGACGAGATATCCAGTCTTTCTCGTAACTAACAGACGTTCTGCTTCACTTGTCTTTGGCGCCCATTGTCGTCCCCACCATCCGCCGCCACCGCGTCGCCTTCACTTGCCCTCGTGGGCATGCCATGCCACATGCCTTGACTGCTCTAGTCCGCGTCTGTGGACGAAGAAGCGCCGACATAGCCTCTTGAGCTGCATGGAATCCGTCCATCTCTCTCCATCTCGCAACCGAGCTTTGCCTCTGTAGCCGGTTGTTCCTACCCGTCTGCCCGTCGTCCGCCCTTCTCTGGTAAATCGTGTGAGATCCCGTTATGTCAGATCCTGCCTGCCACGGCCACACTGACAACAACTTTCCCAAACGAACTACTGCGGCTACTGAACTGACAAGTCGGCATCAAGCCTGCCTGACCTTGCAAGTAGGTAGGTATCTGGGCAAACGTTCCTCCCGCTTTCCGCCCCAGACCAAGGTGTGTCCTCCACCCTGCCTCGAACATCCATGATCTTCCCAGATCCCCATCACAGCTGGGCTTGAGCCTTGCTCTCTCTCCCCCTCGGCGTCGCCCCGCCGATGGACCCCTGGACGAAGAGATCGACTCCTGAAACTGCAGTCTTCGTCCGTCTGCGAATGCTATTGGTGTATACCACCCTGAGGCATAAAGATCTGGTAGGCGCTCAGACTTGGGACACCGGCCGGAGGCAAGGAAGGGCCTCCCTCGCGTCGGGTTGACTCGTTGGTCCCCTGGAAAAGCAGAATAGAAAAAAAGAGGCAAGGCACCTTGTTGGTCAGCGGGCGGGCGTCTCCTCCGACTGGTTCATGGGGGGCGAGCGCACTCTTCACTGTACCTACCCATGGTCCCATGGTGTTGACGAAGAAGAAATCCAGCAAGTCGCATTGCGACGGAGCTCTCTTCCCTGCACGTGGCGTTCCGTGAACTCTCGCGGGGAAGGTTTGCCGAGTCTTTCATGCCCTCGACGCTTGGCGCCGGCAAGGCTAGGTCGATCACCAGGGTTGAAGGGGTTGGAAACCAGCTTTTTTGGGGGCGAAGACCTGGGAAAGGTGGGAGGCAGATAGAACAGGCCCATGGTGAGCTGTGCTACTTTGCCATTCGGTCTTGTGACCGAGGGAAGACTTGGGAGTGGCCAGTGGCAACGGGACAGGCGAAAGGCTACCTACCGGTACCACTACCCTTCGATGTCTGATGATGTCTGTCTAGCTGCAGTATTACGACAGCGTTTTGAAGGCCCTGGTCCATGGAATTCAGCAGATCTATCCCGCTCCCCTTCTCTACCCTTCTACCCGTACGGTCTTGCTCGCCTTCTCCCGGGTGCCGGTGGCCTTCTACGCGGGCGGCGAGCTCACTCACTCGGTTCGGACGGGGGACCCTCCATCATCCGCGGGTATAGTTTCTCAGCATGATTCCGGAACGCATAATGAACTTGCTTTGTCTTCGATATATGCTGGCTTCCGCTTTCCTTGATAGTGGACCGCCTTCCTAGCCCCCCCCCGGCGGCTTTGCCTGCCGTTATGTGCGAGGGTCCCGGGCTCCCAGATTCATGGAAAGAGTATCCATCCGTACGGAGGGAATCAGATCACACTGCGAGTCGTGAACGTGGAAAGCACCGCGTGGTGGTGCGTGGTTGCGTGGGGTTTGATTGACGGGAAAGAGCGGCTGCGGGATGCCTTTGCCTGTTTCTGGCAAATGTACCGGGCGAGAAATATAGAAATGGAGTAATGAGGGGGGGGGGGGGGGGGGGGGGTCGTCGATATGCTGCCACTTGCGCCGGCAATATCTTCCTTTGCTTGGCTTGACCGAATCGGCGGGATTGCAAAAGAGCCCATATCATTGTCCGCCATGTGCCGTGTGTTCGCCCTTGGCCTTGTGTGATCTACAGATTAAAGTTTAAATCTTGTGCTTCTAGAATCCAGACCGGAATGGCTTTTCTCTCGGGACGAAAATGGGCGACGAGAGATTAGGCGAGAGTTGTGGCCCCCCGGTTGACGGCAGGCTGGACTGACTCTTGTCTGTCTGTGGTCTCTTTTTGCCCCGTTCCTGATGGTGTTGTTGTTGTTGTTGTTGTTGTTTCTCTTGCTTGGCTTGTCAAAGTTTCCCGCGCGCTCTACCCGCGGGATCACCGTGTGACCTACCTCGAGGTTGGTCAGCCTCTCTCACCACCAACCATCCTGTGCTGTTGTTGTGGTCGTTTTTCAGCTGGAGTGAGGCGGACTGACCGAACCGACTGTCCCCGTGCAGAGGGAGAGGGAGGGTTGGGAACGAGTGCAACTCGCCCTAAATCGTAGCTCAAGAAACTTTCTTTGTTGGGTACGTGTGGTGGGATGGAGGACTCCGGATATGCGCGTGGGAAAAGCCCGGATCTCTTTCTTTCTGCAGCGTAGAGTTTTTTTCCTTCTTCCCTGTTTTCTATCAGATGTCAAAAGTTGGGTTTGGTTTGGCTGAAGTGGGCAACGTAGTTTGAGCATTGGACATGTTAAGCCGAGTGGTACGTACGTCTGCATGTGTATGTATGTGTTTTGGTGAGTTTGACTCGGGGTTCCCTTCTGGTTGATCTGATGTTGGGCGGACCTTGGATCGGATTGTGGGCGGAGAGGCACCCACGCGGTGCAAGACGGACGGAAGAGAGGACGGGGAGAAGGAGAGATGTGTGTAAGAGTGGGAGAGAGTTCGCGGGTCAAGGTGGTCCGTCCGCCCGGCTTGGATTTTGCCCAACTACGCGGCTTCCGAGTCCGAGGTAAGCCGAGTTGTCGACTGACTTGATGCGTTCCGCGTGGGCAACCTCGGGCCCGGGAAGGCAAAGATGTTGTTTGTCCCCTTAGTCAGTCGAGGGTGTTGCGGTTCGTTGAGAGGAAAGGATATCTGTGTGGCGAATAGCTGTCAAGTAACTTAGAACAAGAGAGAGAGAGGTGTTTGCTTAGCACGGGCAGTTTTCTCTTTCCCTTTCTTGTCTCGGAGAGGGCCCCCGGTAGTGAGCTGATACTGGATGGGTTGAATGACTCATGTGTCGATATGCAATATGACGTTCAATGTACTTCACGATGACGACGTTGGCAACAACGGCGACTTCGTTTGCCGGATGGGGTTCTGTGTCAGTTTGCGGTCATGCTCTGTGTTGTCGAATGTCGTGTGTTTGCACATGTTAGCTGACTTGAGTTGAGAATGTGACTCGCGAAGAGCCTCTGGTTTTGTCGATCATGTTTCGTTGTCGTTGATGTCGGAAGAGTCGACGTCCTTGGAGCATTGAATTCGATATTTCCCCAAGGGGGCATTTACGTTCGTTCTGACAATGGGGCTCAAAGTCTTGACTGCTGATTCATGGTGACTGTTGTTGAGCTGATTGCCGGTTTCTTGTTGTCAATGAGTCTCTTGAGTTAAGAGACATTTTTTCGCTTGGAGACCCTGCCACTCTGGTGTTCGCTTACAAGTCATCGCGCAGTCATCTATAACTCTCTATGATCTGCGTTGATGTCCCTCAAAGACGTAGTATGCATGTCTTGACGAAATCCTTCCCTTGGTTATGTTTGAAGTATAATGTCAGAGACATATCAAGTTCCCTCAGAAACAAATGTGCTGTTTTCAAACACGGCTACGATAGCTAGATAATATAATTTCAGTCTCTCTTCTTTAACTATCACTACTATTTTCTAGCAGTCTGCTCTACTTACACTACATAGTGACATGGATATACTGACATCCTAGCGACCTTGCCCTTTCCTAATTCCAGGTTGAACTATGGCTCAATTCATAAAGTACCTCGCTAACTCCTTACTATATAGCACTAGCTCTTTCTCCCCCCCCCCCCTCTCTCTCATATTCCAATGGTAATACAAGTGTTAGCTTGATGTTGGCATCCGACGGACGCTCCAAGCTATCTGGAACCCCTAGGCAAATCGAGGTATCTCACTGCCGCAAGCCCATGCCGCGAACGAAGGCATGTAGCCCGAAAGATGAATGTCTAAGATAGAAACAAGCTCGAGATTAGGCTTCGTTTCCATATGTACTTACCCGTAGTTTTCTCTGATGGCATAGTTCGTGACTGGTTCGCCCGGGTAGCTGCCTCCGAGCCATGCATGTCTCTATCTCACCTTGTCGAGACGAAGCGTAGGACAGAGCAGCGTGTGGCTTATAATCTGAGTAACGGTCTGGAACGTCTCGGTCGTGTTTGTATGTCATTCGTCAGCAGTGACGGATGGCCTTGGTAAATGGGCTTGGGTCAATATGACCGACTGTTGGTTCACGGGGTCGTATACGACAAATAGTGGTAGCAATTATCACTCGTCTGTTGGTGATCCTATTGCTTGTTCTTCTTGTTGTTGTTCTATCTTACATTGTAGGCAGGAGTCGGTCGAAGTAGGTAGTGACGGCCTGGGTGGTTGCCCCACCTTTATCTGGCCGTGATGACTAAGCCAGTTGTCCCACTTCGCCCAGGGCAGGTGCCAGCCAGCCCATGGTACCTGCCTATTACTCCTTATCAGCCTTTGCTGTTCCAACACCGACTCTCATGACGGGTAGACTGCGGCTTACGGCGAACAAAACTACTTGCAGCAAGTCGACCCAAGGTGAGAGCCCATCTTCATTAAACTCGATTGGAGAATCGTATAGATATGTTCGGGCCCATGAAGACGCTCTTTCAAATTGGTTCGTAATGAATCAACGGTCTGTAAGCCAAGACTTTGTCTTGATTTCAATATCGAGGTTCCCAAGGCTCTGGGGTGCCTCTCAAAAATGAAGACAGCGACCGAGACGTCTAAGGACTGAACTGAGAGCTTGAAACTTGCCTTACAGCAGTTTTGCACGATGCAGACCTGCCCTAGGTTGTCAGCCTGTCAGATCATTCTCGAAAGGGGCCTGCCTTCATTCGTAATGCTGTTGGACCCTTTCTACTTGAAGCTTCAAGAATTCTTTTCCATCATCATTCTCGGTCCAGAAGTTGTATAGACTTTGATCACGGCGTGTCATTGCCACGGTATTCTTAGTAAACATCGGCACACGAGGCTTATGAGGCACACCTCGGAGTATCCAGATATGCAGAAGAGAACAGAAGCAGTCGATGCAGAGACAGCAGCCGAGATACCGCCAGATATCGGTCTGAATGCTATATGTACGTTTAGGTCAACCTCTTTATGAAAGGGTCTTAGCATTGAGGGACCGAAAGAAGGATGGGCATCTCATTCAGCACAATATCGATAGCCGTAGCAGCTCGATTGACTGAGATTTGGCAAACCAAGAATCTGATTAGATGTTTCTATTGAAGCCCATCGAGAACAATTGACATCCAAAATACCTAGTTCCATCAACAGCACCTAGAGACCGTTAACAGAAGCTCGGCGAGTTCCTGTTGCTGGAGCAACAACATCACCGAATGTTGCCTCGTCGCTGTCAAAGGGGTCAAAACTTCCGGGACAACCAGCAGGCAAAGTTTTACTCAAGAACTTGAAGAACTGCAGGATGCTAGGTCTTTAGGTAAGGTCTGATTGGCAAGAGCATACGAACAAGTCAGAACATCGTCATCCGCCACCGCCGCCCTCAACTCCACACAAACCCACTTGAACACCATGCTCGCGAATCTACCAAAACTTCAAAAACATACAACACCAGGAATTCGCTGGTCGTCACCGACCCAACTACTATTCCGGCCCTCATAGGGCTTATCTATGAGCTGCCTGTCTTCGTAAAGTTGGTGTAGGTTACCACCGCCGAGTGACGATGGACGTCCAAAATACGGAACACGGATTATGCGGCCCTAAACGGCCGAGCACCGTTTTGGCCTGAGCAGTACCGTGGCTCGACGGTCAGCACTAATCGAACACCTCGACACCCCGGGCGAGGCACGCCACCACCACCACCACAAATACGCTACCCAGCCCGCCCACAACCTGCTTCTAACTTTCAAGAAGCAATTTTCCAACTCTCCAATGAGGTTAAGATGTAAGCGGCTATTCTTGGTTCCTAGGCA